CATGCTGCAAGGTAGCCTTTATAAGTTCCTACCCCTCGTACACAAAAACAAAAGAAAGACTACTCTTTGATAGATGAGGTAATATTAGCAGGGCTTATAATTAGGTCTGCTATTAAGTATTTACAGAGTTATTTGCCGACAAACCCTGCCGCGTTACGAAACTTGCAATGCAAAGTATTTTTGAAGCCGTTGTTTTCCGGAAACTACCCCATATTAGCAAACCTTAATTTCATGTTTAGTAGAGAAGTAGTGGGAGGCTGCGTTACTTGCTTCATCTTAAATGAGAACGTTGGTAAGTCGGTTTAATTTCATCACTCCATGCTTTGAAGACACCGATGGAAGCATGATCTCCAAGGATGTACAAAATATTGAGGAAAACAAGCTATGTCATGCGTAACGCTCCTACAAAGCCAAATTTTTGGCAAATACTAAGATTTTCTGAAAATTTCTCAAATAAATTACTCACTTGGAAGTGGTGTCAAGGTCACAGTGGTGCCGGATTGAATCAGTTGCAGTGGAATGTTCATCGTTGCATACTCAGTCATCCTTCTTTGATCTTCATCTTAAACAGTGAACCATGCAAGAGAGCGGAAATCAAGAACTCTTAACCTCACGAATTTTTTTTTCGAAAAACTACAATGCTTGGTTTTGCAAAAGGAATTAAAGATAGCATTGTTGCAATTAGATAATTACTTAGCTATCAAACACTTTGGATAGCAACCTATTTTATACTCATGGCAATTTATCTCGCGTTTAACGATATGCGTTTCGAGTACCGTAAAATAATTTGAAAACGTACTTTTTACTTTGTAGAGGTAGGCGTCTGAAATGCCAACTATGACATCCCTTTGAAACCTTCTCCTTTCCTCTCCACTCCATCCAATCGCTCCACTTATGTCTACATGTGAGGTTGTATTCCCAGTAGGACATCCTTGCAGTTTGCCGTTCTGGAGTTGCAGGTGTGGTATCTTAAGTCGAATTCTACATTAATCTAACATACTCGAATCTCACCTTATCATAAGCAAAAACAATGCTTCCGTTTTCGAAGAGACACACAGAAAACGAGAATTCGCCGACTGGAAAATCAGGAAGTAGATAAAAGATTCCAAACTCACGTTCAGAACAATGCTTAAGTCGCACGTTACTCCACCTGGCAATGAAGAAGGTAGCTTTGGGAGCAGAAATATTTATGACTTGGAGTCTTACAGGTAGAGGTGTAGTTTATCATTGAAATACCGCGATTTTGGGAGGCATCAAAGTCTGCCATTAGAGGCGCAATGTATTGCGAATAAGTCAGTTGATCGTGGTGAACATCCCCCAGGTAGAGAAAACCTATCGCAAAATATCGAGCAGTCGATTAATGCTAAAATATTTCAAGAAGTCTACCCATTAATCTCTTATTTCACACATATTGAGCTGCAAACACTGTCAGCATGATTTGCTTCTGTTTTAATAAATCTTATATGTCTAAAAACCGTAAACAATCATCTCAGTTCAAGCCAGCAAGTGGGAAAGCTTTTTCCATTATCAAAACTTTCACCTCACATCTCTGAACTGCAATTTTTGGCGCT